TTTACCTTTTTCTTCTACCGTCAACTAGGACATTATTATGGCCACATGTGGATCCATGTCAACATTTTCAGTCAAATCTCTTTCTTTAATGGTCAACATAAAAGGTATTAACGGCAGTTTTATGTTTGCTCCGTTTTTAAACATTCATGAGTAAATTTATACCAGAGAAAAGTATATGGTATTTAGCACACTTTTGAAAAAGGTTAGCGAGTATTTTTGCAGCTCCTTAACCCATTTAGAAATGTTATGTCACTTTGGTTTACCTTAAAAGGCTATAGAAATAGGAATAAGTGGTTGAATAGAAGCTGAACCATTCCCAAAATACTTAATGGGTGAGGGAAGAGGATTTTACGAATTGTGAGCTCTGTTGGACGATAAATAAAGTCTTCTCATATGCGAGGGACCTAATTTTCCAATGAAAATATGTAATTTTCTTAAATTAGTATATACATAAAAAATTGTTAGAGAATTTTGCCTAATACGAACACTTAAAGAACATAAAAATGAGCATCAGTGACATTATAATTTGAATCAATAAAAGACAGTTTGATCCATAGCTTTAGATTACGTTACTTGATTTAATCTAAGGGTAAAGTAATATTCAACACCCTAATATTATTTCCTAGATGCATCTAGTACCTGATTTTATTTATACTACATCCAGCATCCTTATTCTATTTTTTGTGTACATCTAGTACATTAATCATATTTGTAGTGCATCCAGCACCTTAAACTATAAATGAGAATAGAGTGCTGGGTGTAATTAAGAAATTAGGATGCTAGATGTACCAAAAATTAACATCAGGATATTAGATGCAACATAAATAAAATTAGGGTGCCGCCTGGTAGTTAACCCTTTAATTAATTGACTGAAATATAAATTCCCAAGGCAAGTAAGTTTCAACCTTTTCAATTATGATAAATATTGTTATGAAAATTTAAATCATTATGTATTTCTCTCCCTTTATTTTTATCACAATCATTTTGTTTCCCAATGTTTTATCTCATATGATTTTGGATGATCATTATGTATCTCTATTATTTTCTTATTCATTATGTCTATTTCTTATAAAATCCACTTTTCTAGAGAAAATTAATATTTATATGCCCTCATTCAAACTTCCGATATTAGCCATCACGTCCCTTCATACTTAAATCATGGAAGACTTGATCTGAGATGGTTTCGATATCAAATTTATAGTTCTTCAATATGAAGTCACATCAGATACAGGGGTTTCTAAAACCACATTTTTTGACATGTTTCAGTCTCCCATCATCATGTCTTGTGAAGAATTACTTCGATATGTTCCGGTGTTTCTTGACGCAACTGTATCCCACTGTTTTTCTAGAGACGGCTTACATTCATTGGCATATGGGATGATACCCTATCATCAAGCAAAATTCCAACTTGCTACCGTCGGAATAACTACTTACCGCTTAACACCTTTATTTGTGGAACTTCATTTTGACACTATTTCTCATCATATGATACCTTAAGATTTAACAACAATGACAATATTACCTCTCTATTGAGAGACAATAAAGACATGAGGGTCATTTGCTTATTAGTGGATCCCCATGGCAAATGTTTAAACCTCGCTATGGGATAAGGCAGGGAAGATCCCATGTGCTAATGTATTGTCTGCTTGAATTTTGCAGGCTCATGATGCTGTCCTTTTGGAAGGGTTTTAGGGTGGCAAGAGATTCAATACCTTTAACTCATCTATTGTTTGTTGATGACACTATCTTATTTGCTCGATCAGATGAGTCCTCCCTCAATGTTGTTAATGATATTTTGAATCGTTATGGATGCATGGCAAGGCAGTTGGTTAATCAATCCATGTCTTTGATGGTATATAGTCCGAATCTAGGAAACTTCAACTGTCTCAAGTTTGCTTGTAAGCTGGGGAGGTAATTAGGGAATTATGTAGATTAGGGTAAAAGATACGTCTTGGTCATCTAATGATGTTTTGGAAAGGATTGATAAAACCTTCAACTTTGGAAGTTTTGCTGTCACAAGCAGGTCCATTACACATAAAATTGGTCATTCCTTCCATGTTGGTGGATCCGCTTAGTTGTATTAAGATTCCCTCCACTTGATATGAAGATGGCCAATTTCTTCTGGGATTTTAAAGAAGGACGGAAATGAATGCATCTGTTGCTTCAAGATGGATTTGCTTGCCAGAAGAGCTCAAGAAGACAGTAGAGTTTAATCAGGGGCCGCTGGCTAAGAAAATTTGGTTGCTCATACCAACTGACAAGAACTCTTTGCTTTTCCAAGTATGGGGGTCAATATCTTTGCCATCAAGAGGGAGTTTTAATAAAAAGGATGCTTCAACCTACTAAGGCTAATCTTGCTAGGCATCAATTGAATGTGGATGTTTTATGTGTGTTCTGTCAAAGAGGTGAGGACACCAATCTTCAAATATTTTTGCAATGTCGTTGGGCTCAAGCAATCTTAGGTTAGAAAACTGATGTAGTACCACAAAGATCGACGGAGGATTAGCTTATGGGAATGTTATGTGTGTTCTATCAAAGAGGTGAGGACACCAATTTTCATCTATTTTTGCAATATCATTGGGCTCAGGCAATCTTAGGTTTGAAAACTGATGTAGTACGACTAAGATCGATGGAGGATTAGCTTCTGGGAATGTTAGAGCAATATCCAGCGGGCATTGGTCAGCAGATTTGTTGGACCTTATACTATAGTACGTGGTTATACAGGAACAACGAAACTTATGATGGTGATTCAGCAAATCCCTCTAAGGTTCTTCACAACAGCATCTATTGGAAGAGACAAAGGAGCTGTCATTTAAAATGTTTGAGGAAGGTCAAGGAGGGGCTTGGTATTGATGCAATGATTTTTTTCAAAATTCAGTATTAAATGCATTTTTACTAATTTTACCTAATTAATTGTATTTTTTTCCCCATACATTCTCTTTCATGTATTTTTTCTTCACTATTTTTCTCTCTCACCTACCCTCTTATAACTAAAGGTTATTTGGAAAAAGAAGTACATTTTTTTTATATATATATTTATTACTTTTAACTAAGATTAACAAATTTCTTAAATCACATGATTCAATTAATTGGATCTTATTCTTCTTTCATACCTAGCATGTAATGCTTACATAGGGTATTAATATCATTTTCATCTTTTTATCGAAAAGAAATTTTTTTAAAAAAAAAACAGAGAGAGAGCCAGAAGTGATTCGTGTTTGGTCTATTGTGCAGGTTAGGGGTGAAGATAAATGGGTTTGCATTTTGTTCCAGCTAAGAAGGGCTTTATTATTTATTAGAGATCAAGAAGTAATTGCCTCCCTGTTTGCATACTCTTTGATCATCTAGATGAGGAAGCTGGGGTCACAAAGGATCATGGACGAGAAGATTATGTCGCCTGCTTTGACGTGAAGGGTGCTTGAAGATTACCTAACCATATTAAGCTAGTTTAGACTTCTGTTATTGTTAGTTTATCTTCTCCCCCCCCCCCCGGCGGGTGATAAAAGGGTGAGACTCAAGATTACAAGTCGGCTATTCTAGGAAAAGAGACTCCTGCATAGTCATCTTTCAAGATGACTTCTATTTCAACAGGGGGTGTAGTCCAAACCTTACAACATTCATGCTCCTGAAAACTCATTCTTGCCAGTTTTTTAATTATTTTTTTCGAAGAAGTAATCATATTCAAGACATTATCAGACATTAAATATGAGCTGAACCTTGATGCACTACGTAATTAGGGACTAGCTTCTTCCGTTAGACTCAAACTTATTGGTTCATTCTTGCCGGTTGATTTTTTTTTTATGTTGGTGTGATATTCACATAAAAAAATGGATATGAAGGCCACTAGAGAAGAAGTCATGTGGGCCATATGAGCAATCCGTGATACAACTATCTATGATTCTAACAACACAAGTGGCTCTGGTGTCAATCAAGAAAATTCAACCTGTCTAATGACAAAATAAAGGCAAATCGAGGCAGCATTTTCTTAGAAGATTTTGCAGATGGTGATAATGGCGATTTGGGAATTTTAATATTTAAATTGGAATCTATGTTTTAAATTTGTAGTTTCTAGATTATTTGAAGGAAACTAAAGTTATATAGGCTTGGTACATTTGGGTTCAGGTTTCAAGAGGCAAAAATCTGAATCGAACCAAATCGATCGGTTATACCAAAAGGAAAGACCAAACCAGACATTATTTATTATTAGTTTTGATCAGTTCCTACCGGATTGGTTTGGCATAAACGTTTTGGATTAGTTTTAAACACATAGAAAGAAGCAATACAACAAAAACATTTGATTTAGACATTATTAAAAAGTGGTAAAAGAATGTTTCTTGTGTGGGGAAGTTTGCAGATCCATGGATCACTCTTTTTCTTTTTTTCATTTTTGACAAACACTGAAGCATCCTGCTGATCAATGATATTCAAAGGACATTCACATGATTTATCAAAAAACAAAAGAAAAAACAAGAAGAAGAAAAGCACATTCAAATGAAAGTTGCCAGGATTCGTGACAACCTGGTTCAACAGTGTACGGCTTTCATAAGTACGAATGCTTGAAACTAGCAATAGACCGGCATGAAAATGTTTCAAGCAACAACTGATTTAATGAAAAATGCCAGCCTTTTCGCCGACAAACAGAGAGCTGGAAAACAATTGATAAATTCAAGTACTATTTTTATTTTTTAAAAAAGAAAAGCATCGCATGCATTTTTTTTTTTTTGGCCGAGAAAACAAGTCCATTTTATTCATACCAAAAAACACATCGCATGCATTGAACTCTTATTTAAATTTGGATTTTAAATTTCCTCTTCAAAATTTTGTTCAAACTCAGTGTATTCTTCCTCGAGAGGTTTTTAAGTTATTATTTATTCCTTGCATTGCATCAATTAAAAAACATTTCTTTTAGAAACAAAAAAGGTATTAAAGTAGTGAAAATAAAAAATCTAAACAATCCAAATGTTATGCCCCACCCAGAGGCAGCTAAGACACACAAAGGATGAATAGAGTAGAGCTTTTTCTTTAACACGTTACTCCCATGGCATTTCAAAATGTTTACCTAGGTGGGCAAAATCTGCTCCACAAACATCACAGATATAAAAAGGACCCTTAATCTAGAAAATCCTAAAATGACAGCTTTAACAATCACAAGAAACTGTATTAAAAGCACAGTAATTATACCACCAGTTGGTTAACTAGGAAGTGACTAAACAAGTTTGGTGCCATTTTGCATGCCATTCAGCCTTTTCTCGATGTTAACTGCCTGATATTATACTTGGCTAATTCCTTATATTTTTCGATGACACCGATCAAGCATATGGTCTGGAAAATAAATAAGTAAAGGCTGTGTTAGCTATATATGGCAATGTCTAAGAAAACAAATTTAAAAACAACACTCTTTGAATCAAAAGTCCACAGTTGAATCTAAACTATTCCTTGAGGGAAAAACAACATAAGAATCCATATGTATGAAGACACGAAATGACTATAAGGGTATCACCAAAACAGTAACAGAACACAATGTAAAGTCTATTGTGATATCTTGACTTTTTTTACCTCAGTATGAACAATAAATTCAAATATATTCCAGCACGAGTGTTGCTTTCTTACCTTGACAATTTCAACTACGATGGTTTTATCAGGATTCTTAAGATCAACTTTATGAGGTCCAGGAACTGATTTTGCAACTGCGTCAATAATCTTCATTCTGTCAATGCCACTATTTGCACGGGCTTCATACAGTACAGCAAACTGCACATAATGTTGTTAAAATCTAGCAACATGGAGACAATCAATAGTCTTGGGACAGCAGATTTATTCAAAATAACTGGTTTTATGACAAAAAGTCGTGACTTCAGAAATCATTTGCTCCTTTTTTAGTTTTGAGAATAGAGACAAACCAGAAGAGATTAAATAACTAGGCAAAATCTACATCACTTTGTAGACAATTATCTTCTCAACCTTTAAAATAGGACAGTGAAATAAGATTTTCACAATGCCAGAGGTTAGATTCCTTTTGTCATATACATGCAAATCTCATCTTGGTTGGTTACAATGAACCTGAGATAAACATCATTGTTCTCCTTTACAAATAAAAGGACATGATCTTTAAATTGTGAAAGACTCAAGACATATCAAAGAAAATATTTAGATTTGAACCCACGCAGGGCATGTGAAGGCAAAGGCTATCTACAGGCAGGAGAATGGAGTTTTCAGATCACTTTTGGTGTTCTGCTGTGATCTATACCAGCATAAATAGTGTTTTGGGTTAGATTGTTCTTGGGAATATTCAAGCAAGGAACAATTTGGGGAACGCATGAGATCAGTATTAATTGCTGATCAGCAAATGAAATAGATAGGTTGTCTCACTTGTATGAATAATTCATACACTCATATTATTTCATATGATAGAGTTACAATTTATAGACTCCAGACGGGTGAAATCAATCCAGTTACAATCAATCAGAAATTAATTAGAGATATTGTAGCACAAAATCAGAGCTTTATTCCCTAGCCAATATCATGGGTAATGAATGGAGAGAATCAAGGGCTTTCTAACACTCCCCCTTAAGCTAGAGAGTAGATGTCAGCCATTCCCAGCTTGCTTCGAAGCCCTTCAAACTTGACTTTGGCTAATGGCTTGGTCATGACGTTAGCTATCTGATCAATTGAGCGCACATAGTTTAAGTTAATGTTGCCATCTTCAACCTTTTCTTTGATAAGGTGCCGACTAATGTCAACATGCTTCGTTCGGTCATGATACACCCGATTCTTGGTCATTTCAACACTGGCTTGGTTGTCACACTAGAGGTTCACTGGACCTTCATAGGGAATTCTCAATTCTTCAAGAGTCTAATCACCCACATTCCTTCACATACCTCTAGGGCTACAACTCTTAGCTCAACTTCAGCACTGCTCCTTGAAACCACTGTCTGTTTCTTGCTTCGCCAAGTGACTAGGTTTCTCCAAATATAAGTGCAATAACCTGTGACAGATCTCCTGTTATCCACAGCTCTCCCATGATCTGCATCAGTGTAGACATCTATGTTTCTTGTATTCCCCTTTTTAAAAAATATTCCTCTTCCAAGATTGAGTTTGAAGTAGGTCAGGATTCTGTATACTGCTTCCATATGTTCTTCTTGAGGTTGATGCATAAATTGACTTACCACCCCAACTGCATAGCCAATGTCAGGTCGTGTACGGGTCAAGTAAATCAGTTTACCCACAATTCTTCTGTATCTTTTTGAGTTAACCGGATACCCCGTCTAGTTTCACTTCCAGATTCCATGACTCTTCCATAGGCGTCTCATTAGGTTTAGCCTCAAGTATTCCTGTTTCGTGGAGTAAATCAAATGAGTATTTTCGTTGGGACACACTTATACCCTTTTTGGATCTAGCAACCTTCATTCCGAGAAAGTACTTCATTTGTCCTAGGTCCTTCACTTGGAATTCCCTAGCTAGGGCTTTCTTGAGTTGAGAGATAGAAACTTCATCATTGCCAGTTATGACTATATCATCCACATACACAATTAGAATCGTTACCTTTTCATCATTGTGTTTGACGAAAAGAGTGTAATAAGTTTGTCCTTGGATGTAACCAAACCTTTTGATTGCTTTGGCAAACCTGCCAAATCATGCTCGTCGGGACTGTTTCAGGCCATATAATGATTTCTTCAATTTGCAAACTAAGTTGAGTGGAGCTATTACTCCCTCTAGGATCTCCATGTATACTTCCTCCTCTAAATCTCTATTTAGGAAAGCATTCTTCACATCTAGTTGATTTAGGGACCAGTCAAGATTAACAACTAGGGACAGGAGTACATGGATGGTGTTGAACCTTCCCACAGGGACAAATGTTTCTTGATAATCAATCCCATAAGTTTGGGTGTACCCTTTTGCAACTAATCTCTCTTTGTACTTGTTGATGCTTCCATCAGGATTGAATTTAGGGGTAAAGATCCACCTACAACCTACTGCCCTCTTGCCTTTAGGAAGTGTGGTAATATCCCACGTGTTATTTTCCTTCAAGGCTTCTAACTCCTCGTATGCGGCACGTTTCCAATTAGGATCTTTCATAGCCTGTTGAAATGTTTATGGAATCTTCACCTGTGAGCTATTCACTACAAAGGTTTGCATTCTAGCAGATAAATTGCCATGAGAGACAAATCGTTGAATAGGATGCTGAGTACACGATCTTACCCCCTTTCTAAGTAAGATAAGCCATCCTAGCTCTTCAGGATCCAAGCCCAGATTGGAATCATGTTGCTGCCTTGGAATGGAAGGAACCCTACTATTACTGTCCTGTTCACCTGATTGAGGACTTGAGTGCTCTATCACCCCTACATCAATTTCAGCATTGGTTTCCATTGGGTGAGGAGTGTTTGTGGGGCTTTGGTGTTCTAGTGGAGGTGTAGGACTGAGGGTTTTCAGTTCAGGTTCAAGGATTTCTTCTTGTGGTATAGAGGGTTCAAGAGGGTTAAGAGGTGAGTTGGTCGTAGGTTCAGATGTAATTAGCCATTCTACTCCATGGTTCTCCCCCTGAATGGGTGATTTGGGGTAATAAACATCATCCTCATAAAAGACTGTCTCTGGAGATTAGGAGTTTTCTAATAGTGAAACAATAACACTTATAACCCTTTTTGGTAGAGGAATACCCGAGGAAAATATATTTTTCTACTCTAGTACCTAATTTGCCCCAATCATGTTTATAGACAAAGATAACACACCCAAACCTTTGAGGGATGGTATTGATGATAGGTGAGGTAGGGTAGGTTTCAAGGAGGTTATAAATGGGGGTACTAAAATTGAGAATTTTAAAGGCCATTCGATTGATAAGATAAGCTACAGTTAGCACAACATCTCCCAAAAACAAACTTGGAACGTTTCTTTCTATCATAATAGCTCAGCTTACTTCCAAAAGATGCCTATTCTTTCTCTCAGCAACTCCATTTTGTTGAGGAGTATAGACACATGAGGTTTGGTGATGGATTCCTTGTTGTTCAAGAAATTACCTAAAAGTTCCACTCACATACTCTTTGACATTGTCACTTCTCAGAACTTTGATGGTAGTTTGAAATTGGGTTCTCACAAAAGAGTAAAAGTTTTTAAAAACTTATAAGGCTTCGGATTTCTCTTTCATAAAGTAAACCCGTGTGACTCTTTTATAAGGTAAACCTATGTGACCCGGGTGTGATCATCTATGAATGTAATAAACCACTTTGTGCCTGTTTGGGTGTTGGTTTTAGCTAGTCCCCAAATGTCGGTATGGATCATTGTAAACGGGGTAGTGGGTTTGTCAGTATGTTTGGGATAAGAAGCGCAAGTTTGTTTGACAATTTAACACGTTTCACATTGGAAAGGAGAAGAATTTTTATTGAATAAAATTAAAAACACATGCTTCATATAATCAAAGCTGGGGTAGCCTAATCTTTGATGCCACAGTATTACATTTTTATTCTGAGAATTGGAACTAACCATAGCTTTCCTTGCTCCTTCAGTCTTTATATCCTTTTCTTCAAAGCAGTATATTTCATCCTATTCTTTAGCAGTCAAAATCTTCCTCCTCGAGGTCGAATCCTGAAAAGCACATTTAACATCATCAAAGATCCCAACATACTTGTCCTTTAGTCAATTTGCTCAGAGATATAAGGTTGCAAGTAAGAGCAGGGACAAACAAAACATTATAGATTTCCAGATCATCAGATAGGGCCACAATGCCAACACCAACTTTAGTATATAATCCAGTTGCTACTTTTACCCTAAGGTTCTCATGGCAATATTTGATGCTTTTGAAAAGGGACTTGTTACCAGTCATGTGGTCTGTAGCACTGGAGTCAACAATCCAAGTCTCATCACTAGTTACCAATGCATTAAGGGCTATAATGGAATTACCTGACTAAATAAAGTTCACATTGGGGACAGATTTCGATTTGTTTTGTTTTTCAAGTATCTTACGAAGCATTTGATGCTCTTCTCTGGTCAACTGGTCTCCATCATCACCTTTTTCCTCGGAGGAGATGTGATGGCTCTTTCCATCCTACTGTTGTTTCTGTTTTCCTTGGATTGGTTTTCCAGGTAGTTTTCAGCATTCATCTCCGGTGTGGCCTCTCTTGTTACAGTAATTGCACCACTTGTTCCCTTTCTTCTCAGAGGCCTCTGATGTCTAGAAACCCCTCGTGACCATTACTGAGCCATCTATTGGAGTTTAGTTACCTTGGGTGAGATGTCTCCGGCTTTCTTCGAATTTAACCATACTGAAGACTTCAAATAAGGATGGAAGCGGCTTTAGACCCATAATTCTACACTCTCACTTCTTCAAAAACATCATTCAGGCCTAATAGAAAGTCATATGTTCGTCCTCTTTCCACTAGTTGTTTGTAGTAATTAGCATCATCCATATCCTTCACATGATGTACTTCAAACAGATCCAATTGCCGACATATCTTTGTCAGAGTGCTGTAATATTGTGTTATAGTCAAGTTTCCTTGCTTCAAATCTTTGAGCTGCCTCCTTAAATCCAATAAGGTGGCAGTGTTGTCCAATATAGAGTAAGTCCGCTTAGCAGCATCTCAGATTTCCTTAGCTGTGCTTGCAAGAAGATATCCTTCACTGATTTCGAGAGTCATTTGAGTTGCAAAACCAAGACATCACCTAGTTATTTTCAGCAAACCAGGTGTCAAAATTAGGATCATTATGTGCAGGTTGTTTTGCTTCTCCATTGATGTACTTCTCCTTACACTTCCCATGTAGATACATTAATACATTTTGAGAACATTGGAGATAATTGCTGCCATTAAGTTTGTGAGCTACCCTCATAGCATGATGTTCAGTGGCTATTGTCAAGTCTAACCCTAGATCAAAGGTTTTAGAGGCGACCATTGGTGAAGAAGGAGTGCCTTGAGCATTTGAAGATGTGTCGGGTATAAGGGCCATAGGAATATTGCGAACATACCCAAAAAAGGGGTGGAAATTCTGTGGGTTCATCTTCTGGATCTTACAGAGGTACTGTTGAGTTATGGGGACCGTGCGTGGACTTCACACGCAGAGGCAGTGACGACGCGTGGGCTTCACGCACGGAGGTTGTGACGGCATGTGGGCTTCACGCGCAACTCCGTTGGACGTCGGCTTCTGGGGATGCGCCAATCTAAGGACACCGATGAGGATTGGAGGGGTAGTGTCGTCCACGGTCTGCTCTTGGCTTCAGATCTGAGGATGCCTCACTCTCTCTCTCTCCTCACTCACTCTCTGTGTTTTACGGCAGTGGTTCAGGAAGAATTTCTGGGTTCGGATCGAACCCAATGCTCTGATACCATGTCTCACTTATATGAATAATTCACACACTCATATTATTTCATATGATAGAGTTACAATTCATAGAGTCTGGATGGGTGAAATCAATCCGGTTACAATCAATCAGAAATTAATTAGAGATATTGCAGCACAAAATCAAAGCTTTATTCCCTAACTAATATCATGGGTAATTAATGGAGAGAATCAAGGACTTTCTAACAGTCACAAAAGCTGATAAATTGATACAGGGTTGAAGGTTACAAGAAATATATAAGCAACAAAAGCCTCACCATTCTCACTAAAAACTTATCCTACAAGGATAAGCATAAAGTCCAATCCTACAAAATTTAAACTTTTCAACCCATTATCAAGAAATATTTGTCATAATTCCTGAGGCACTATATACAGAAAATACAACATGATCATTCGGTTCTCAGAGTATTACTAAGTTATCGTAATATAAGTGAAAAAGGACCAAATATAATGAACATAAACACCATAAAATGACTTCTTCCATGTTAACCATTTGTGTTTTTCTTACCTAAGTCTCCCCCATTTTGAGTTGACTTAATCTGGATTTTCCTGGATAGTTCCATTCTCAAGCATAAACTGAATAGCAGAGAATAGAGAAGTTGTTTAACCAGAATTTATTTTCCACAAATTAAGTGTATCCTAAAGGTGTCATATTCAATGTTCTTTTTGGTAGAATCTAATTTCCTTATTCCTATAAATATTAACACTTACGTTATAGTACGATAATTGCAAGAATACGAATCCAATTTCACACAATTGGAGCCTTTGATATATATAGAGAGAGGGTGCATGGTAGAGGCTGAGCCCATAGAATGGATGAGTTATCAACCTATGGGTCATATAATGCCTAAACTAAGCATCCTTTTAAGCTGGTGCTTCTGGCATCAAGAAGTTCGTAATGTTAAGTGAAATGAATTCTTTCACGCAGTGCATAGATGGTTATCCAGTGGCATGTTCAAGAAAGACAAATTCAAAAGGGAAGAAAGAGAGAAGTTGAGAGGTGGAGAAGCTCTCAAGAAATTCACGCTTTGAATACTATATTAATGGCAGAATTATAATATTTATTAATGCATGTAGATAAGAAAATGCAAGTACAAAATAAGAAATACTCACATTATTTTTCCTTTTTTGACCAAATGAACACATTATTACCTTTTGTGGAGTTTGAGTTTCCAAAGGAAAATAACGTTCTAGAAGGGGCTTGATTGCTTTTGAAATTTCCTCTTCTGAAGCATAGCAAGCTAGTTCAATTGGCAAAATTCTCAGGATGAACCTAAAAGTATGTGTATAACAGAAAACAACATGTTAATGCTTTTTTTGTGCATGTGCTTTCTATGATATAACTGAGGGAGGGAGAGGAATAGATAAGAAGGTTCAAAACACACACACAGAGACACACCTAGACATGTGTTTTCTTGTCGATGCTGCAGATGTCACCATGTGCTGTACTATGTCTTTGGGACCTAGGCCTCCATCTTTCTTTCGCATTTGAACAAATACAACTCCATTACAACCTGAGTCAAGCTTGAAAAAGCACCTCTGCAAAAAACAGAACCAGCAACTTGCACTTACAAATACACAAATGGAAGAGCAGAAGTAAAGAAACTAACCAAAAAGAAACACAAGCACGCGCACACAGAGATTGCCATATAGCATTACAAAGTGTCAGTAGTAGCCAATACAGTAATTTAGATTGCTATAGAGAATGGCATTCCCTATCATGCAGGATGACCCCAGCTAAACAAACAACACCTCAAGTTTAGGTGACTAGTTCATTTAATTAAGCAAAACAAAAGCAGAAACAAAATGAACCATGACACTAGCATGATAAGCTATCAAGATTCCAAAACACAGCTGAAATGTGATGGGCAAAAAATCACATGTTTTTTTCTTAGACACATACAATATCATTGGACAGACACGTAACACCAATGTCAGGCAATCTTTTCCCTCTCAAAATTCTGTATGGGACAAAACCCTGAAAAAGGAGGCGACCAAAAAATTACGTATTTCATCATTTCTGGAAACTCATTTAGAGAATAAAAGAATCAGGAGCTAATACCTTCTTGTGACGCTAATCATCTAAGCATTATCTAAATGGACATAAGTGTGTGGTAGAATGTGCTATATGTATCGGGAACTATAAGAATAGCTATATGAACAGATAAAATTAAAAAGCAACAGAGAAACTGTGAGAGAATTCATTTTTCCAGTAGCATCAAAGGAAGGTAGTGTTAGAAAGTCTTATCAACCAACCTTAGTCTTGTCTCCTAGTACTTCGAGTTCAGCTTCAATCAATCTGTCAATGGACTTCTCTTGCCCTTTACCATCAGAATCACATGCTTGCCCATCAATTTTGCAGCATTGTTTCTTTGCTTGTGGTTCATCAAATTTTTCCTCTTCCTGAGCAAGCCCATCATCAATTTTATGAGAATCTGATTCTTCAACTGTTTCATTCTGATGATTAGGAATATCAGAATTATTCTTATTTCCACCCTTTTCCTCTTCCTCTTGTACCTCCGCCTTTGCCTCATCACCATCACCATCACCATCACCATCATCACCACTACCAGAAGAGTCAGAATCTGAGAATGTAATTTTGGTATTCAAAGGCTTACTGGGTAGCTGTTTAACATTTGAATCTTCTCCATGAACTAGCTCTTCATAAAACTACAAGGCATATGACGTAGGATCATATCACTAGAACAGAAAATGGATATAAGAAAAAAATTAGAAAGTTGAGAAAATGTTCAGATTTTAATATTCCACCCATAGATTCAAGACTATGTATACATAACAAATCTCAGAGAACCATTGGCATTAATTGCAGATTGGAATAACTCTATTACTCACAGAACAAATATAGCATGATTGCAAAACAAACTCGTTGTAGCGAGTAAAGGACAGAAACTCAAAGGAAAAAAGAAGCCTCTGGGTTCCGGTTTTCAAAAGCACTTTTCTATTTTTAAAAACAAAAATTTCTTCCCCTTGTTTTTTATCTCATAGTTCTTTTCAAAGTTTTTAAAACTATTTTCTACAATTCAGAACAGAAAGCAGAGACTAGCACAAAAATTATTCTTCAACCTAAGTAGAGACACTAGTGTCATAAAGAGAAGTGAAGAGTAGTGCAGAAACCAATGGCCTCCCGAACCAAAGACTTAAAATATTACAAACCCATTAGCTCAGAAGAACTTTACAATCATTTCGTCAACCCACAGCTGAAACCAATGAAGAGGCCAAGAAACTAGTTCACTCAAAAAAGACCACGAAAGCACACTGCAGAAGAACTTTATACTCTCTTTTTGAGCCAAAACCAGTGAATTTAATGGCTAAGAAAACCTGCAGATTAGCAGGACACATCCACTGCACTGCTCTCATCACTCCCTTGTCATGTATATCATCGTTGTTGCTATGACAGAGCAAACATTTTTCATATAATTAAAGAGCTACATTGAACAAAGGCATTCAAACTAGTTTAATGGAACCTGTTGAGCACCAGACTGGCATTGTCTCTAAGCACGTATTCTTATCCAATATATACCAACTTACTAAATCCAAAAATGATAACCAAATCAAACCTGGCTTTATAAAAGTCTACAATAATAACTTCATATCCGGAAAAAGGGATTATCTAGCTCAGGATAAGAAGCAAAAAATTATTTTGCAAAGACAGATGGCTTGTGATAAAACAATAACCAAATACCGTCAATTATAGCACTTAGCTCGTGTGAAGATATGTTACAATGTAAAGTACTAGAAGAAAGGTAGTAAAACATGGAGGCAAATTACCCATCCGCTTGTGATTTTCTCAAACACCACACCTTCAATTCTAATGTTAGATTTTCACCCTTTGCCCAGCAATAATGATTTGTGATAAGCCTTGTGAGCTCACTGAGAAATATGAGAGCAGAATACATCCGTTTAAATGAAACTACATGCAGCTGAGCAAGTTGGGGCTTGATAATATAACTCACTAATCCAGTAACTGAATTAGCAAGTAAAGAGGAGTTGCGATAATGATAAACACCAACAAATAATGATCCGTAATAGGAAAGGACAATAGTACCGATTCAATGATATTGAGAGCTTCTCGTGAGGCTTGATGTTCCCTTCCCCCATCACAAGTGATGAAAATTCCTTGTACGCCTGGGCGTAATGGATATGTGCCCTTCTTCTTCACCGGTTTCTGAAACAGCAACAACAGGTTCAAATTTACACATAATCAGGCGAAAGTATGCCAGGTACCATACAAAGGGCAAGGGAAATCAATAGAAGCCAAACATAAAAGGAAGAGAACGGAGACATTGTGAGGAAGATAACGCTTTCTCTTGTTTCCCTTGGTGGCAGCATCAAGGTTAAAGCTCTGCTTACTCTCCGACGCCATGGCTTTCAGTCGAGAAGTTCACAGTTGACACGGGCTAACCGCTCTCAGGTATATAGCCAAAAACCTACGTTTTACCGGTGAGCGGTGTTCGTTCGGGTTTCTAATTATAAAAAATAGAAATATGAAATTGTGAAATAGGTTCTCCAATTCACAACATACCGTGGAAAAGACAAAAATATCCAAAGTAAATTTCCATTTCCCCTCTTCCTTGACCTTCCTGCCCGTGAAAGTGCGCCAAAAGGTCTGTCCTCTCATACCACTGACATTGTATATGCCATGCCCTTCCAATAAGAGTGGAAATAGGTACAGGCCTTATTCTTAATAGGCCAGGCCTATTTTATAGTCTTTACAGGCTTATCCTTCAGCCTGAGCTTAGCCTGTATAAAGGCCTGACCTGACCTGAAACCTGTTAAAAAGCCTGTATTTTTAAAAAATTCAAATTACATTAAATTTTTTAGAAAAAAGATAAAATTAAAAAAAAGCGTACATAATAATTAATTTTTTAGTCTTGTCTTTTATTTAAATTTTAGTATCATAAGTAATGTTTTAAATCTTAACTACAATTTACAAGGATATTATTGAAAACTAGTTCTAATTGTATGCTAAAATTTGGGACAAGACTATGTTTAAGTACCAAAAAAAAAATAAGACAAATAAATAAAAAGAAAAAACTATTGATTTTACAATGAATAAAGAGGGTATCATAATTTAATTAACATAATACTTAAGTTAATTAATCTATCATTTTCTTGGAACAGAATTTTTCTTTCCTATTTTATTTATATTTTTAAGATTTAAAGATCATATTATTTATTGATATTTTTATTTGAAATTATATTTTTATCTTCACTTGTCAACTAAACTTCAAAATTTAAGGAAGGACTAAGCTATTAACTATATATTAAAATTAAAAAATAAATTAAAAGAACACATTAACAATACCATTAACTAAATTTTTTATATATTATAATTATAAATTTCTAACAGGTCCAGGCCGGTCTAACAGGCTTAACAGGCTTTTGATAGAGTCTAAGCCTGGCCTGTTAACTTAAACAGGTTTTCAAACAGGCCTGAGCTTGTCTCTTTTGGAAAATAGGCCAGGCTGTAGGCCCCTCACAAGCCACCTGGCCTGTTTCCACCCCTACCTTCCAAAACACAAATCCAACCAAAAAAAAAATCAAAATCAAAATGTACAACTTTGAAACAAATATGAAAATAATGGAGGTGAAAACGAAAATGTACATCAAAAGTGAAAATAAAAATCTCTAAAAACAAAGACAGTGGGACATTACTCATACGGTTGGCATGTTTTCCTGTTTCTTTTATGAATATAATCATTGAATAAATGGGATGTATTTGACTGTTCTTTTATAAATATAATCTTTTTAATTCTGTATTGGTGATTCTACAGGAGGCTTTATTTTTTTTCCTGAAAGGCAGGTAGATTTATTTATCTTACAAAGCGCATTAATATTTAGGTAACGATCATTATTATTGCCATTCATTAAACGTCCACTTCATCTAAACAATTATATATTATTGATTGCTTTTTCTTTTTCTTTTTTAATGACCTTAATGTGCTTAGCTTTACTCAAGAGTATATAATATGATATGGTTATCCGTTTACGTACAAAACTCTATTCCATTGTAAAAGTTTGTTAACTCCATTCCATTACAAATTGTTATTTCCACGTTTTATTACCAAATTATAAAAGCGATAAATAAAATAACAATTATATGATTAGCTTTTTCATGAAATTAAGTTTCATGTGAAAAGTTGACATTATTTTTATATTGGCTAAATTATACTTTTGATCCTTTAACTTTATGTAAGATTTCACTTTGATCCCTTCACTTTAAAAAATATACTTTTAGTCCTTTAACCCTAAAATTGTTCATTCTAAATTATGATTTTTTATAACAATCATGATTGTTTTGAATATTAAACTAAATATTTTAGCATTTAATAATTTTTTATTAACATTTAAGAGCTCAATATCATCATTTTTTGTTAACAATTTTAGGGATAGAGGATTAAAAATTTACTTTTTAAAGTTAATAGACCAAAATAAAACATTATATAAAGTTAAAGGATTAAAAGTATATTTTAGTCTTTCATATTTTACTATCAAGTGATAAAAGTGGTAAGCCAATAACAAGAGTGATAAGCCAAATGATAAGTTTGATAAGCAAAGTTACAAACCTTTGACAGGGTTTCTAATGGTGTATAATCAAGTTCCATGGTGTCATGATAGGCTACAATCATTTGCTGTGATTCTCATATACATATCTATATATTCGTTATTTCTTATTACAACCTTGTAATTTTCTATTGCAGCTAATGAATAAAAAACCGGACCGGCCTGTTCAGGTCAAAAACCAGCCAACTGGCTAGTTTTTAGGTTCATTTCATTACCTGAATCGGAAAAAAATTAAACCGGTAAGGATTAGACTTACCCGATGTAAGCCGGAAATAACTCGTGAAAACCGTTGGTCTGAGTGGATTATCCGGTTCAATATTTTTCACTTACTCAGAACATGCAAAAGTCATCAAAAATAAGAAGAAAGTTTATTTGAAAAACAGAGAAAGAGGGAGAGAAAGAAGAGAAGGAAAATAGAGGAAGAGATAAAAAAAATAACTTACTATAAGAAAAAACTTCTAAAAAATCATGATGAAAAATGAAGGGAAAAACTTCTTTTAAAAAGTAGAAAACATAGAAAAGGGAAGGAAATATGCTTCAGGAGGTGAGCACTTGAGCTTTGTTATGTGAGATGAAGATCGGAAAATAGTGAGAGGAAGGAGCTCCGATAAGGCCACAATCCCAGTGTTCAAAACGAAAATAAAAAGATGGAAAAGGCACTAATGACAGTTGACGTGTTGCAGGCAGTATTAGTTCTCTTTTTTTTTTTTTCATTTTTCGTTTTCCAAAAACTTAGTCATCCGTTTCCTATGCAAACATATGTTTATTTAATAAGATATTTTTAAGAAAAAATGGTAAATAAAGACTCTCAATATATGAAATTACAATTTGAGACCCTCAGTATGGAAAATGGCAAATAATGAGCTGGTCTCATATTGCAAATATAAAATCTTAGTGAAATGTCTGAAATGCTCCTCAGCCAAGTGACAAATTCACTTTAACGAATGCCAATTTTAATAAACCAAATCACAACTTGACTGAGGGTATGCTAAATGACAAGTTGACTATGCGAAATGACAAGTTCACTTTAACGAGTGGCAATTTCAGAAAACCAAATCACAACTTAGTTAAGGGGCATTTCAGACATTTCACTAAGATTTTATATTTGCAATATGGAACCGAGTCTTTATTTGTCATTTTCCAAATTGAGGGTCCCAAATCATAATTTTACATATTCGGGGTCTTTATTTGCCATTTTTCCTATTTTTAAATTTTTTTTATTAAAATATGTTTTACAATAAAAAATGAATATTTTTCAAATTTTATTTAAATTATTATTTTTTAAATAGTCACCGGTGACCCCAATTCAACCCCAACTTGACCTACTTACCCTTAACCCACTATCTTGATGGGTTTAGTGCCCGATCCGGTTTTTTGTTCGTTGATTGCAACTTTATAATAATTTCCTATTCTAGACATGTAATATTTTATTATCCACTTATAATTTTTTATTACAGACTTTTAGTTTTTTATTACAAATTTATAATTTTTTATTTTAGATTTATAATTATCTATTTCAGATTTATTATTCCTATTTGATATGATATGAGATGATCACTAAACCACAAGGGATAATTAAGATTGCCACATGTCCTTTCATGCGCATAGCCTTTTGACCGTGGGTGCCACGTGGAATTATATTGATTTGACTTGGTCATTTTGAAGCCAATGCCCGTTGAAGTTGTTGAGAGATCTGCAGGAGTAAATCAAGGGAAATTTCTCTGCCAAGTCGCAAGGCTCGCACCTGAAGCTTGTTGCGATTTTGTTACTTTTTTATTTTATTTATTTTACTACCCATTCATATAAAGTCTCAAATAAAAAATTATAAATCTACAATAAAAAATTACAAATATACAAATCACAGTCATGAATCTGTAATAAAAAATTATAAATCTCAAATAATTAGGAATTATAAGTTTATCATAGGAAATAACAAGTTTGAAATAAAGACTTATAAATCTGTAATAGAAAATAGTAAGTTTGAAAAAGAAATTTAGAAGTTTGAAATAGAAAATTACAAGTTTATAATAAAAAATAACAAGTATGAAATAGAGAATTATAAATCTAAAATAGAAAATTAAAAGTCTAGAATAGAGAATTACAAGTCTAGAATAGAGAATTACAAGTTTAGAATAGAGAATTATAAATCTAAAATAGAAAATTATAAGTCTAGAATAGAGAATTATAAGTCTGAAATATGAAATAACAAGTTTCAGATAGGAAATTATAAGCTTAAAATGAAAAATTATAAGTCTAAAATAGAAAATTATAAGTTTGAAATAGAAAATATAATAAGTCGATTGAGAAATTACAAGTATTGAAAATAACAAGTTGATTGAGAAATTACAAGTATTGAAAATACAAAACTATTCACTATTTTTAGTGTGCAAAATTACATTATTTTTACAATTTAGTTACTAATAACAAGTTGTCATTAGGAAATAACAAGTCTTGCAAATCTACTACCATTAACTTTTTTTATATATAAAATGATATTATTTTCACAATTTAGTTATCAATAACAAATCTTGAATGCCAAATAATAACTATGAAATTGAAAATTACAACATTTTTTATGTAAATTTCAGAAAAAGTAACGCTGCATTATCATGATTAACAAGTGATATATATACAAAATAACAACATTAATTGATCTTCATGTTTTCTGCATTTTCACCTAATAATTGGATATAAATGTAAAGAATATTTTTGTTCAATCAAAATCTCGAACTAATTAGAGCAATGAACGTTGGGAATTACACGAGGAGCACTAAAGACAAACATAACAACACTAGATCCTCTAGTTCTACCAATAAACAAGCAGTTTCTATTCTTGAGTCTCTCTTAGCTATCTATGCTCCTAATT